TTTCTACATTTGTATTTACGTACTTGAACAATTAAAAACCGTTTCACATCATCAATATAGACCGACTTAACATTTTATAGACTTGAATGTTATAAAATTATACCTTGGCAATTATTAAGATATTACTCTGTGCGTAGACGGCAAGACGAACATCAATCAAAAAACACTGCGATAATCAAAGTCACGATCAATATTATAACCTGCAGCAATACGTTACACTTATATGAGGCGATAACCATATTTTAATACGGATCGCTTGATTATTAGAAATGTTAAGGTATAAGAGCATATACGCGAGTAGGTATTTATATTACTATTTCTACAGGGTATATATTATATATGGTAACTAATCAATTGGTAAATGGGTAGGTATAATAAGTCATAAATTGTGCCCCCTTATATATATTATACTTTAAAAACACAACTTTAGCCTGTAGATACCTACTTAAATCTATATGATATTATATGATAATGCCAAAGTAGCACTAGTCTATACGTCATGCAGTTTTAGTTGCATTTAAGCCTGTGAATTGAATGTATTAAAAAAAACTTTAAAATATAATAATATGCTTTTAAAATATCGAAAAATTCAGTATAAAATGCTCTGCATACCTATTATCTAATATTATACATATACGCGTGAGATTCATGATTTAAAAAATATAAAAATCTCTCAAGCGTGAAAAGTTTTGAACTTTTTAATGAAAATAATATATATTTCCAACATACAACAATTATATCATAGCGCGATTACAATAATAATGGTAAAACAGTAATTGGTCACCTAAAATCCCATATTATAATTTGTCAGTTGCAGAAGTCACAACTATATAAAATTACAGTCAATATTGTAATACTGTAGTGCAGTGGTTCTCAAACTTGTTTTTTTTCGCGTATCACTGATGATTAAAAATATCGACAATATCAACGATTATACCTATACTATATCTTATTTATTGACGTATTTTCCGTGAAATCTAACCTTTATTATCTGAATATTTAAAAAAACACACGACATTGTATAATCATCGCTACGCTAAGAGTCTAATATTTGTTTTTAATTTTCCATCCTATCACCACGCGGCCTTCCGCGTACCACCGCGGAGTCTTTCGCGTACCACTAGTGGCGCACCGCAGTTTGAGAACCGCTGCTGTAATGTATTATACATACTATGTAAATCAAGTATTTTAACTTAAAAAAATTATATAACTATAAATTAAATTAAATATGCCATATTAATTAACTACGGCATGCTACTTGTGTACAGATCGTGTAAAATATTAAACATATTTATTATATTCATGACGAAAATGAAAAAATGATTCATAAAATGTGTAAAAACTTTTAACCAATATAGATCATTAAAAAAGTTGAAAAAAAAAGTATTAAAAAAAAATAAAAAAAAAAGGCCAACAAATACCAAATAACTAAAAGTTTCAAAATTAAGCTCATTCGTTTATATAGTGTTTTACAGTGATCAAATTCAAAGTTGGTGTGCGTTAAGGGAGCCATGTTTTACAGTAAGCTAAAAACAATACATATTTCTTCTGCAAATTCACAGCCCTATTATGCTTACATAAATATTACGATATATTATTATCACATAAATAATATGACTTACCGGAATGAACGAAAGCGTTCGGCGGGATGGCAAATACCATCATAGTCCAGACGAACCAGCAGACGTAATACTTGTCGCCCATCTCAACCGTATACTATTATTATGATTATTATGACGTTATAATCGAATTATTGTTCCGCTACGRAAGGCCTTGCGGGACGGAGAACTCGAACGAGCGTGTTTGTAACGATTTAAAAATAATAACAACAACAACAACAATAATAACAACGATTAATATTTCTATGCTACAGCCGCAGCAGTTGTTACGATAATGATTTATTGTTGTAGGTAGTTGTGCTGGCCATGCGGCATATGGGACGAGCGCGATACGCAAGGATAGGATACCGATGTTATACCTAGGTATACTGCTCGAGTCCGCGGGTTTTTTGCGCGAAATCCGTCGAATAACTACTGTCAGACGTCAGCCAAGCGACTGTTTTAAGTATCGACGGCGCTATAGACGAACTTGTGCAGCGGAACTGCACATCCGCGTGCGTTTTCACACGGCCTAGACAATGKCAGCCGGCTGCAGAAGACAACAAAACATAGCGAATAATGATCGACGCGTGCCATCGGTTATTCCGGCGGGTCTCCCCGTTGATTTGACGTCCCGTACCGTTCGATCGATTGTTCCGGGGACATCGCCGTGTTTAGAAACCTATTCGCACAAAACATCACATTAATATTATAATGCTTGTAGCTAATCAATCATTTTTAATAACATAATATTATGGTATTATTATCGTAAATATGGTATTGTGAAAATAATTATTTAGCGTGACGTCGAAAAGCCTACCGGCTAGAAGATGGAGATGGCGACGAAGAGTATAATAATGTATATTTATACAAGGTGTAACATAACGTGCTGATAAATGCAATAGATAAGTTTTCATAGTCATATTTGAACACTTTTTTTCTTTATTAATAATTTATAGACGCTTGCGCTACAAATT